ACTATTATGATGAAGCAGTCAGATCCAAAGACAGAGAAAAATGGCAAGCTGCAATGGAGGAAGAGATGTTGTCTTTAAAGGTAAATGGAACCTGGTCTTTGGTTTCAAATCCTAAAGACTAGAAATTGGTTGAGTGCAGGTGATTATTCAAGCTTAAGGAAGGTATAAACTCTTCTGACCCTCCTAGGTATAAGGCTAGGTTGGTAGCCAAAGGCTACACACAGCGGGAGGGAATAGATTTCAATGAAATATTCTTCCCTGTTATGAAATACAAGACCATTAGGATCATGTTAGCCATAGTTACCTATAAGGACTTGGAATTAGAACAACTTGATGTTAAAACTGCATTTTTGCATTGGAACTTAGAAGAGAGGATTTACATGAGATAGCCCATCGGTTTTGTAGATAGTAACCTGCCTAATCATGTGTGCCTTCTTCATATATCTCTATATGGACTAAAACAATTCCCTCGGCAATGATATAAGCGTTTTGATGCATTCATACTTAGCATCGGTTTCAATAGAAGTAAGTATGATAATTATTTTTATTATGCATTCTCTGATGACATGCCTTTATATATGTTGTTGTATGTTGATGACATACTCTTAATTTGCAAGTCTAAGTCTAGAATAGAAGAGCAAAAGAAAAAATTAAACTCTGAATTTGATATGAAAGATTTAGGACATGCAAAAAGGATTCCAAGCATGATCATAGATAGAAATAGGAATAACCATGAGCTAAAAGTCCACCAGAATTCGTACTTACAAAAGCTAATGTCTAAATTTGGCATGGCAGGTTCAAAAATGGTGACTGTACCCTTGGCTGGACATTTTATTTTAAGTAAATCACAATGCCCCAAAACTGATGCTAATTTAAATACAATGGAAAACATCCCATACGCTAATGTAATTGGGTCAGTCATGTATGCCATGATTAGCACCAGACTACACCTTTCCTTTGCAATCTCACTCTTAAGTATATTCATGTCAAATCCTAGTTTTCAACATTGGCTTGCTCTTAAATGGTTGCTTAGATACATTAATAGCTAGTTGCATGTTGGCTTGGAATATGAAAAAAGATATGACTCACTTGATCTTGTAGGTTTTGTAGATTCTAATTTTGTATGTGACAAAGATTCATGAAAGTCTACCACTGCATATTTGTTCACCTGAGGAGGAAACTATGTAAGCTGGAAATCCCAACTTTAGCCAATTGTTGCTCTGTCCATTATCGAGGAAGAATATGTGGTTGTGATAGACGTGCTTAAAGAAGCTCTTTGGCTTCAAGCGCTATTATCAGAAGTTAAGCTACTTGATGGTGCAGTCACTGTCTATTCAAACAACCAAAGTGTCATACATTTGTGCAAGAATCCTGTTTACTACGAAAGGACCAAACATGTAGATGTTAAATACCATTTTGTGAGGGAACTTGTGGATGAGGGGGTGATCAATCTGAAAAAGGTGCCAATAAAGGACAACCCTGCAGATTTGGGAACAAAGGTGGTCTCTCCAGCCAAGTTCAAGCACTGCTGGAACTTACTGCATGTTAAGTGACCTACAACAATAGAGCTATGATGTAAACTAATAGCATTAGCAATGAATCATATTTATATAAAGTAAATCACTAAATTATGGAACATAGTAAACCAAAACAACTCAATTGAAATTTATAACAAACAATTATTTCAAAATGGAAGTTAGGGTTTGGATTTTTCATTCACCATTTTGGAGTTTGACCCTTAACCTTAAAAAAAGATTGAAATCCTAAATAATGCCCCCACTTGCCTCCCTATATACAAAATCCAATAAATCCTCGATACATAAGTCCCTCTAAAGTAGCACCGCAATATTAAAATCATTGGACTCTTCACACACCAAAAGATTAAACTAACTTATTCTTTAGCAAAACTGTCCCATAACTGAACATTGGTTACTCTCGGATTTTTCATAAAAATTCTATTCATCATTTTAAGGCATAATTTTAATGGGGCCTTTTAGAGGCACATAAGTTGTTCTCATAATTTTCTCATGTCATTCTAGAATCAATACTTATTTAAAACACAATTTTCTTTCAATTCATTCAAATCTGCCAACTGTTTCCAGAATTGAGGTTACTGAATTATAAAATTCATAACAATTCAACCTTTAATCTAAACCTCACAAAACTCTCCAGAATTAAACTAGACACATATAGGATTCACCAGAATTTAAAAACACTCAATTTGGATAAGAATATATGCATCAAATCATTTTCCAAAAATACATGCTCAGCAGAAAACGAAAATTCCAGAATTGATAAGGCAACTTCAAATATCCATATAAAATTCAATCCTCTATGTTTTTTAGTGAAAAAAAATTTCTAAACACTCTTCAATAAGCCTACAACAAGATATCCAAAATTCAGCTTCAATCAAAAACCCAAAGCATGCAAACAATTTTCGGAATCCCAGATGGACAGATTTTGCATAATAAACCATTATATCAAAAATCATATTTTTAACCCATTTTTGTTTAGGAACAACTTGTATGTTCTACCCACGTAAGATTATTGAAATCAATCTCCCTGTTTTAGTTCAATCTCACGCCATTATATTCAATCATAAACAACACAAATCAATTGAACAAAAACTCATCAAAGAGGGAAATTTTAAGTTTTATTCACCTCCCATATGCTTGATCTCCCTCCACTCTTTCCGATCACCGGAGTTTTGTTCGCCGGCGGCCACTTTTCAGCCACATTCATCGTTCTCAATTCCTCTCTCTCTACGTTCTCTCCCTTCTTCCTTTCTTTCTTTTCTTTTCTCTATTTTCTGTCTCTTCTTTCTCTCTTCCCTCTCTTTGTTTTTTTTTTTCTCTCTTTGTTCTTCTCCCCCTCGGTCCCTTCTTCTCCCTTTTTCTTTCTTTGATTGATCACTGTTCATCAAAATAAATAACAACTAACTTTATTAGTCCTCACTTGTTTCGGCTATTACATTTTACTCCCGTAAAACTTTCAAAATCCAACACTTTACCCCCCAAAATCACAATATAAAATTTAATAAAATTTTATACAAAAAATACGGGGTATTACAATTATACTCACTGATTTGATATAATTCAATCAAAAAAATATTTTCTCTCATAATTCAGACAAAAGTGTTTTTAATAAGTTTTATCTTATTATAATTTGATCTTCTTTCCTTCTTAATCCTTCTCCCCTTTCTTCTCTTTCTCTTCATGGTGCTGAAGATAGGGAAGAGATTCAAAACCAATCATGAAACTTCAAATCTACCTCCAGGGCCACGAAAGTTACCACCCATCCGGGACTTATTACAGATTTGGCGAAGAAAAATGGATCTTTACGTATCTTCAGCTTGGAGAAAAATGATAAGAACTCATTATATTATATGAAAAATGATATTTTTACAAAGACAATACAAAGAGAGCTACAAAGTGACATCACTAGGAAGGAAAAAACAAAGAAAAAACGGAAAAAGAGGGAGAGAGAGAGAGAGAAATCATGAAGATGAAGGGTGGAAATTGTCTTTGTATGACCTCTTTGTTTTTGTCTTTGTAAGAGTAGTATTGCTCTATATTATATTTGCATCCAGGTCTTATCTTGAAGCAGCAAGTATAATAAATTACAGTGATAACCAAAAGGATGCACAATGCTCTACATAAAGGCCCAATAAAAAAACAGGCCTTAGCCTAAAACAAAAACAAAGTATTTATACAAGACCACATAGCCCAAAAAAGGAATCTACATAACCCAAAGGGCGGCCCATGCATCTGCACATCCTGCCCATATACGTCAATAGTCCACACAAAAGGCCCATTCTACAACCCCAAACCCTTTTAATTGTCCAATTTGCCCAGCCTGCAACATGGTTCTGGGGCCTCATTTCTGCATTCCGGTGGCATGTCTTTTGGTTTTGGGGTGATGAATGTTGAGCTTGCACCAGCAATGTTGCTGTACCATTTAGATTCGAAACTTCCTGCTTGAGCGAAGAATCAAGATTTCAACATTTAGCTTTAAATTGTGCCCTAGAGCAATCTTACATTTTGCAGAAAAAATTATATGAAAGATTACAGGGCACCCTATTTGTTAATTTCAAAGAAAAATATCGGTATTAGATCATGTAAGTTTAGATATTAACATTAGAAATATATCTAAGACCTAATAAGGAAAAAAAAAAATTTACAAGTGTTAGATCAATTATTGATCAGGTGTGCTTTCACGGCGGACTATTATAACAATATTCTTTATTATTTTATTTATCTATCAACGTTCAGCTCCATTAGTAATTTTTGTTTTAAAATAATTGGTGCAGAATGGTTTATATATCCGGCCGCTCGAGGTTGGGCTTAAAAAAAAGGGTCCAAGTTGTATTAGATTTCTCTTCATAACCTGGTATATTAAGACGCTATTCCCCTGTATTAGTGATATACAAAAGTCATAGCAAATACATTCACTATAACATGAGAGATGAGAAAATATTTCAATAATATTGACTTTGTTAAACATAATCCGGATTTGGGTGAGTCGGGATAAATCGCGCATATTTTTTTTCTCTTTACTAGTTTGATATTTGTGTGCGGTTATTTGTTTCTTTGATTCTAGACGCTCTTTAGTTCTTTCATTATATTTTAGTTTTCATTTCCAGTATTGATGACCACGTCTGTTTTCCTTTTAAATATTCTGACATCTTTTTCATTTTGTAACTACTATAATGGTAAGATTCTGCTCTTCATTGTCTATTTTTAGTTTCATTGACTATAAAGGTTGCTAAATACTTTACGAATCTTTCTGATAAAAAATTGCAAGTTGTTGAAAGTACCAAGAAAATAAATCAGCAAGTTCCACCTCTGTTTTTAGTGTTGGGAATAACTCGAGGAGATTCGGAAAGCTGATGCAAAGGCGATGCAAGTGTTGTTAATTATAAATTTCAAATAAAATAATCTTGAGGGTAATTATCCAAAAAACCGCTATCAGATTATTGGGAAAAAAATATATTTATATAGATGTTTCTGGCTAATCCTTACTTCAGAGTCCAATCCTCACAATACTGTTCTCATGGAGCTCATATTCTCCATCTTCTCAATCCTTTTAACCTTTCTTCTTTTTCTCTTACCGGCGGTGAAATAGCAAACGGATTTAGAAAAAATGATGAAACTTCAAATCTACCTCCGGGGCCGCCGAAACTACCTCTGATTGGAAATTTGCACCAGCTTGTTGGCTCTCTACCAACTCGCAGACTCAGAGATTTGGCCAAGAAATATGGACCCTTCATGAATCTGCAGCTTGGAGAAATTTCTGCTGTTATTGTTTCATCGCCAGAGTCTGCAAAAGAAGTGATGAAAACTCATGATATTACATTTGCATCAAGGCCTTATAATCAAGCAACATGTATAGTATCTTATGGTTACAAGGATAAAATATTCTCACCATATGGTGATTACTGGAGACAACTACGGAAGATTTGTTCATTGGAGCTTTTAAGCACAAAAAGAGTTCAATCATTCCAATCGGTAAGAGAAGAAGAGATTGCTAATCTAATTAATTGGATTGCATCAAAATCAGGATCTGTGATTAACCTTTCGGATAAAATTTGCGAATCAATGTATGCTATCACTTCCAGGGCTGTCTTTGGTAAAATATGTGAAGCTGACCAAGAATTATTCATGTCTGTTGTCAAGGAAATGGCAAAGGCACTGGGAGGGTTTAATATTGCAGATCTGTTTCCTTCAATTAAATTGCTCGAATCCATTAGTGGAACGAATCCTTATTTGCAGACCTGCATGAGAATCCGACCGAGTAGTTGAAAACATTATCAACGAACCGCAAAGACCGTGGAAAGAGTGGAGGAGGAAAAAATCTGGTTGATGTTCTCTTGAAACTTCAAGAGCAAGGTGATCTTGAAATTCCTTTAACTGACGACAACATAAAAGCAGTGATCTTTGTAATTACTTTCACCCCTTGGACTTTGTCTTTTTTTTTTTTTTTTTTTTTTTTTTTTTTTTTTTCCTTTTTTCTCCTTCCTTAAGTCTTTTTAGTGGTTAAACTCAAAATCATGTAACTCCTTGTTCCGGACATGTTTCGAGCTGGCATCGACCTTCTTCTACAGTATTGGAATGGATAATTTCTAAACTGATAAAAAATCCAGGAGTGATGGAAAGAGCACAAGCTGAAGTGAGGGAAGTCTATAACAGAATGAAAAAGGTTGATGAAACAGGTGTTTCTGAAATGAAGTTCTTGAAACTAGTGATAAAAGAGACTATGAGGTTACATCCTGCTGCTCCTTTGTTACTTCCAAGAGAATCTAGAGAGAAATGTGAGATTAATGGGTTCAATGTACCTGCAAAAACCAGAGTCATTGTTAATGCGTGGGCGATTGGAAGAGATCCCGAATATTGGAATGAACCTGAGAGATTTAATCCGGAGAGGTTCATTGATTGTTCAGTTGACTATAAGGGGACAAATTTTGAGTACCTCCCATTTGGTGCTGGAAGGAGGATGTGCCCTGCAGTTTCATTTGGTCTGGCAAATGTGGAGCTTCCACTAGCAATGTTGTTGTATCATTTTGAATGGAAACTTCCCGATGAATGAAGAATGAAGATTTGGACATGACCGAGTGGTCTTGGTCTACCTCCCATGTGGCTTCTTCAACCTTGTGGTTTTGCCAGAGGACTTTCACTAACGGAATACTCTTAGTTCGGAACTCTTTAATCTTCCTGTCTAATATCTGAACTGGACGCTCCTCATACACAAGATTCTCTTCTACATTTACGTCCTCTATGCTCAGTATATGGGAGGGATCACTTACGTACTTCCGAAGCATCGAGACATGGAAAACATCATGCACTTTGTCCATGCTGGGTGGTAGTGCCAATCTGTAGGCCACATTTCCCACTTGCTATAATACCTTATATGGACCAATGTATCTCGATGCTAACTTCCCTTTGCTACCGAAATGCATCACACGCTTGTAGGGGGAAACTTTTAGAAAAACTTTATCATCCACTTCGAACTCAACATCTTTTCTCTTCAAATCGGCGTAACTTTTTTGTCTGTCTTGAGCTTGTTTCATTCTGCTTCTGATTAACTTTACGTCTTCTATCAATTTCTAAGTTATTTCTGGCCCAAGAGCCACTCTTAACTCATCTTTCTCGCCTATCTCATCCCAATGCAGTGGAAATCTACAACGTCTACCATACAAGGCCTCATATGGAGCCATTTTAATCGTGGATTGGTAGCTATTATTATAAGCAAATTCCACTAAGGGCAACATCTCATGCCAGGATACTCTATAATCCTTACAGCATGCTCTCAACATATCCTCAAGTACTTGATTTGTTCTTTCTGTCTGGCCATCTGTTTGAGGATGATAGGCAGTGCTAAAAGCCAATCTTGTACCAAGTTCCTCTGTAAACTCGTCCAGAAAGCGGAGACAAATCTAGAATCTCTATCTGATACTATCGTCTTGGGTACTCCATGCAATCTCACTATCTCTTTGATGTAAATCTGGGCCAATTGATCCGAAGTAGTGTTCTCCTTTACTGGAAGAAAATAGGCTGACTTAGTCAATCTATCCACAATCACCTATATAGCATTATACCCTTTTTGCATTCTAGGAAGACCTGTGATAAAATCCATCGAAATACTTTCTCATTTCCACTCTGGAATACTTAGTGGCTCAAGCAACCATGACGGTCTTTGGTGTTCTGCTTTCACTTGCTGACAAACCAGGCATTTAGCTACAAATTCTGCAATAGCTTTCTTCATACCTGGCCACCAATAGCCTTTCTTTAAGTCTTGATACATCTTGGTTGCTCCAGGATGAGCAGTGTACAGTGTGTCATGAGCCTCTGTCAGAATTCTCTTTCTCAACTCATCAACCTGAGGAATACACAACCGATTCCTAAAACGAAGGACACCATCTATTACGTGGAAATCTGGTATCTCACTTTCATGTACCCTCTGAATTATTTTTTGACACCATTCATCGACTACTTGCTTTTCTTTTATCTCTTCCAGCAAAGTAGGTCGAACCTCTAGTCTGGCAATCCTTCCCAAACTCACATTCAATCTGCTCTCTACACAACTCTTCTATTAATTCTTTCTACTTAGTAAGTCGGGACAGATAAGCTTTTTTGCTCAAAGCATCGGCTACTACATTAGCTTTCCCCAACTGATACTTAATGTCACATTCATAATCCTTGACTAGCTCTAGCCATCTTCTCTGTCTCATATTCATCTCCCTTTAAGTAAAGAAGTACTTGAGACTCTTATGATCGGTGTAGATATTACTCTTGGCACCATAAAGGTAATGCCTCCAAATCTTCAATGCAAAGACCACAATTGCCAACTCTAATTCATGCGTAGGGTATCTTGTCTCATACTCTTTCAATTGCCGAGAAGCATAGGCTATAACCCTATCTACTTGCATCAACACATCACTAAGTCCATGCAGTGAGGCATCTTTCTATTCTTTTCTTTCTTGTGTTTTCTCATTCTTATTCTATGCCGATCGGACTCGGTTGATGCATAGAATCGGAACCCTCGGCCGTGTGAGTGTATTCTATTTCTTGGGTATAGCCCTCATCCGCATGCACTCTCACAGGCTATACCAATTCTTGTTCTCATTCTCAGACCGTTCACTAAAGGCGGCGTACATGCGGGAATATCTTGCTCATCACTCATGAGTTCCCCATCGCACAACCTATTATTTTCTCTTGCTCTTTTCTTTCTTTCTCGTGTGCTTATTCTTAGAGTACCTTCTTCTTAGAATTCTTTAATCTTTCTTAAGTATTTCACATATAATTGTATGCATATGGATGGCTCATGCTTGAATTCTAAATGTACTCATGAAATGCAAATATGTAATGTTGCATAAATTAAGGTTCTCTACTCATACTCATGCTTCTCTTAGGCATTTTATCAAACAACTAATGTGCATACATAAACTCTACTTTAACTATAATTCTATTTGTTTCTTAAATCATCCAAAATGGGAGTAAAACTCCCTTGTATCATCACAATCTCTATCAAGGAAAAACACTCCCAAAAGTTTTCTCAAACTCTCCCAATTTCAACCAAACTTCAATCCATCATCATACAATCAAAACACTTCTCATAACCCAAATATATTCAACAACAAGCATAAATAAACACCAATCTCATCTCAATTTCTCAACAATCATAGCATATACATCATAAAGAAATCTCTACTCAATTGATTTTTTAAACCTTAACTTGGGTTGGATTTACTTACCTTATACTTGAATAGTCTTCACTAAGCTCTCTACTCTTGTTGGAATTTAGCTTTCTTTAACTTCCTAAGCATAAACTTAGTAAGAACTTAACCCTTATATAAATAAAATTCATATCTAGAGTAGAAATTCTTACCTCTTGTTGCTTAAGATCAACTCTTATAAAAAATCCCACCAAAAGCCCTCAAAAATCCTTGGAAAATTGAGTGAGGAATTGAGAGAAAATGAAGAATGGAAGAGGCGGTGGAGGAAGGGAAATGAAGGGGATTTAGACAACTAAACCCTTAATATCACATATAAGTAACACTCTTTCCCATTTTGCCCTTACTCTTTCTTAGGAATTTCATCTTTGTCCTTTAATTCTTTACAAAGTCACCCCCATTCTAAACTATTTTCTATGAAATTTCCTTGCATTTTACTCCCCACTTTTCTTGCTAATTAGGGGTAGAATGGTCGTTTTTCCCTAAAGGAAAAATTCTCTAAAAACTTTATCAAGAAGTTCAGTCGGCTCTTCGCCACGGCGAAAAATTACAGAACCTCGTCACCGCGGTGAAGATTCTTCTTCGCCCCGACGAAGTCTTTGACTCCAAGATTTTGCCAAGTCTTCACCAAATTCAGGGCAACCATTTAACCAAAACAACATATCAATTCAATTAGGAACCAACCAAGCAATATCAATAACATACAAGTTTAACTAAGGGCAAAACAATCAACACTAAAGGCAAAATAAACATACATTAGCTATGTACCTCAAGTGGGCGTTACAATAATAATAACCCTGACAATATTCTTCAGCTTTAATCCTAATTTTGTGTCATATTTAAGAAATCACTGCTAGATTTAACTTCTATACATTCATGAACACATGTGATTTGAGATTGGTGCCCTGTTTTTACTTTTTTTTTTCTTTAATTAACTGTCGGTTACAATCTATTTTGCCTTTTTCCTTATAATTAGATAACAAATTTTTTAGTTATTAGGGTTAACTATATCCTCTTGTATCATTTTGTGTTTGAGTCGCAGGAAAGACAATGATCAGGTTTACCAAAAAAAAAATTATAATCTATTTATTTTTAATTCCATTTACTCCAAAAACGGTTCAATATTTTATCCAATCTTTCTGATAAATAATTGGAAGTTGTTGAAAATTCAGAGACAAAAAAAGAGCAGAGCATCACTTTGTCTTATTCTGTGTCTTTTAGCGTTGGGAATAACGAGGTGCAGATTCTGAAACCTGATGCAATGGCAGAGTAATTAAAGTATAATTTTCTAAAAGAATATTTGGAAAAGAAATTACTTATATTATATAGATGGTTCTATCTAATCCTTAATTCTTAGTCCAATTCTCACTATACTTTCTCATGGAGCTCATATTCTCAAACTTCTCAATCCTTCTCACCTTTCTTCTCTTTATCCTCATGGTCCTGAAAATAGGGAAGACATTCAAAAACAATAATGAAACTTCAAATCTACCTCCAGGCCCACCGAAACTGCCTCTGATTGGAAATTTGCACCAGCTTGTTGGCTCTCTACCACATCGCAGACTCAGAGATCTGGCCAAGAAATATGGACCCTTTATGCATCTCCAGCTTGGAGAAATTTCTGCGGTTATTGTTTCATCGCCAGGGTTCGCGAAAGAAGTGATGAAAACTCATGATATTATATTTGCATCAAGGCCTTATAATCGAGCAGCAAGTATCATGTCTTATGGTTATACTGATGTAATATTCTCACCATATGGTGATTACTGGAGACAGCTAAGGAAGATTTGTACATTGGAGCTTTTAAGCACGAAACAAGTTCAATCTTTCCGATCAGTGAGAGAAAAAGCGATCGCTAAGCTAATTGATTGGATTGCATCAAAATCAGGATCAGTGATTAACCTTTCGGATAAAATTTGTGAATTAACATATGCTGTGACTTCCAGGGCAGCCTTTGGTAAAGTGCGTGAAGCTGACCAAGAACTATTCATTTCTGCTGTCAAGGATATCGCAAAGGCACTGGGAGGGTTTAATATTGCAGATCTGTTTCCTTCCGTTAAATTGCTCGATTCCATCAGTCGAACGAATCGTTATTTGCAGAAGCGGCACGAAGAATCTGACAGAGTAATTGAAAACATTATCAACGAACGCAAGAAGTCTGAAAAGAGTGACGGAGATAAACATCTGGTTGATGTTCTCTTGAAACTTCAAGAGCAAAACGATCTTCAATTTCCATTAACTAAAGAAAACATCAAAGCGGTAATCTTTGTAAGTACCTTCACCCGTTGGAGTTGAATGCAAAACTTAATCTCTGTTCTTGTTTTTAATTAGTGTTTTAGTGGTTAACTCAGAATCATGTAACTCCTTTTTCCAGGACATGTTTGCTGCTGGCATCGAGACATCTTCGACAGTATTGGAGTGGACAATTTCTGAATTGATAAAGAATCCAAGAGTGATGGAAAGAGCACAAGCTGAAGTGAGGGAAGTCTTTAATGGAACGGAAAAGGTTGATGAAACAGGTATTATTGAAATGAAGTTCTTGAAACTAGTGATAAAAGAGAGTATGAGGTTGCATCCTGCTGTTCCTCTGTTAATTCCAAGAGTATGTAGAGAGAAATGTGAGATTAATGAGTTCAATGTACCTGCCGATACCAAAGTCATTGTTAACGCATGGGCGATTGGAAGAGATCCAGAATATTGGAATGAACCTGAGAGTTTTAATCCTGAGAGGTTCATTGATAGTTCTATTGACTATAAGGGTACCAATTTTGAGTATCTTCCATTTGGTGCTGGAAGGAGAATGTGCCCTGGAGCTTCATTTGGTCTTGCCAATGTGGAGCTCCCACTAGCATTGTTGCTGTATCATTTTGACTGGAAACTATCTGATGGAATGAAGAATGAAGATTTGGACATGACCGAGTCCTTCGGTGGGACACTCAGAAGGAAAAATGATCTGCGTCTGATTCCCATTCCTCATCATCCATAGCGTAATACATGGGCTCTAAAGTAATTGATTTCTGTTTGTTTATGTTATCTGTCACCATTTACCTGTACCCTCAATAGTTGGTTTGAGATTGATGTAATTTTCAAGATTATCACTTTTAATGTAACCACTGCTGCCTCTCCCTAATACTTTTCTGTTGAATCATACCACATTAATTTGCATAGAAGAGTTTATGTACGTTTGTTTACAAACAAATGTGGCATGATTTTTTGGGTAAACTGGAAATTGTATAAAATAATGAAAAAATACAACCTAACAAGGGAAAGGGTCCCTTGGGGAAGAACCTTGGACAAACCCCAAAGGCTCTAACTACACAAAAGGAGCCACGGATATACAATCCCAAAAAACTCAAGACGCACACAACAAGGAAACACTAGACAGACCTTGCAGCAGCATCAGACAAAAGAAGGAAGGTTAGCATATAAACATATACATCCTATCTATCTTCCACCCAAACGGAACCCCACAGGGCAAGCAAAAANGAGCAATTGTTGAAGGGTTTTACTCTTTTTACATTCAATCTGTGTAATCTTGGTGAGTGAGTGTTTGGTTTTTCATTCAAGTGAGAGGGGTTTTACTCTCAAATTCTTTGGGAATCTGATTGTGTTCTCTAGGTAGGATTACGGGAAAGGTTGAGTTGTATTCTTGAGTGATTGATCTTTGATCTGTGGTGTAAACTCTTGAAACAAATTGATTAGTGCAGCGAGCTCCTCTGATTCCGGAGCTCAGCGTGGACGTAGCCTACCCAATCTTGGATAGGTGAACCACGGTAAATTTGTGTGTATTGTTGTGGTTGTTTTATCTTGATTGTGTGTTAAATATTAGGAAGATTTTCATAACAATACAGCACCACTTGATATACAAACAAATGTGGTATAATTGTTCGATTGACATATCATTCATTCACATTTATTGAGTATTTAATTGAAATGATATTTTATTTTTAATTCCATTGACAAAAATAGATTTTAAATATTTTATCCAATATTTCTGATAAATAATTAATGGTTTTTGGTAAGTACAAAGAAAATAACTCACCAAAATTTGGCCTCTTGGACTATCTGTGTAGATAGTGACAGATTAACATAAGCAAACAGCTATTGCTTTTATTTGACCCTGCGAAGAACAGATAATTTCAACGTTTCTGCATTTCAGTATTTGAAAGAACCTGAGAGTTCTATTCCAGAAAGGCTCATCAGTTGTTCTGTTGGCTATACGGGGACTAATTTTGAGTACATCCCATTTGGTGCTGGAAGAAGGATGTGCCCTGGGGTTTCATTGGTCTAGGCAATGTGGAGCTTCCTCTAGCAATGTTGCTATACCATTTTGACTGGAAACTTCCTAATGGAATGAAGCATGAAGATCTGGACATCACAGAGCGCTTTGATGGGACAGTCAGAAGGAAGAAGGATTTGTGCCTGATTCCCATTCCTTATCATCCGAACACTGTTTCATAGGCTCAAATGAAGAATGTGGGCTAGCTTTATATTAATGAAGCTTTAAAGAAATAATGTTCTCTGCTAATCTGAGTTCTCCTAAACTTCAATGGATCTATTTAGTACCATGTCTTAATTCTATTCATGTATTGTTAAAATCTTTTCTTTTATTACATTTTTCTTTTTCACTTAACTGTAACTTCTTCTCTGCTATTTGTGGAACTACAATAGAAGGATTCGGGGTTTTAAATTCCAGGAACGATATGAACCTGATTGCCTCATAATTCTAATGTACATTGTCAATTTAGTTTATTATTTAACCAATTTGCATATCAATTATCAGATAACATTTAACACGTTGAAATTATTTATCAAAAATGATAAATAAGTGGGGGTTGTTGACAGTGGAAAATGAGCTCTGCTTTATTCTTTTTTTTTTTTTTTTAATTAGGATTTGTACTGTGGAGATTCGGATCATTGATTTGATGCAACTGTAGTTAGAATATCGTTTTAAAGATGCTGGATAAAATAATCCATTAATTACTTTTTATGGATACAATTATTGCAGCCAAAACCATCCTTGCTTCAGCTATATAATTATCTTTCAGAAAAGCAGAAAAGGTGCACAAGACTCATAATCCGATCCTCTCAATCTTCTAGCTGTTTCTCATGGATTTCGCATTTCCAAGCTTTTCAATCCTTCTCACTTTTCTTCTCTTCTTCTATTTGGTACTGAAAATAAGGAAGAGATCAAAAACCATCGACAAAAATTTTCGTTTGCCTCCAGGGCCGTCGAAATTACCTCTCATCGGAAACATGCACCAGCTTTTTGGATCTCTACCCCATCACAGATTAACAGACTTGGCCAGGAAATATGGACCACTTATGCATCTTCAGCTTGGAGAAGTTTCTACTGTTGTTGCTTCTTCGCCCGAATATGCTAAAAAAGTTATGAAAACCAATGATGTTAGCTTTGCATCAAGGCCTGAGGTTCTAGCAACAAAAATCTTGTTCTATGATAATACTGATATAATCTTTTCACCATTTGGTGATTATTGGAGACAACTGCGACAAATTTGCACGTTGGAGCTTTTCAGCATGCGACGAGTCCAATCTTTCCGATCAATAAGACAGGAAGAGGTGTCTGCTCTCATTGATTGGATTGCTTCAAAAGCAGGATCACCAATCAACCTTACAGAGAAAATTCAATCACTAATATATGTAGCAAGTCCAAAGATCAGCAATTATTCATATCAGTAATAAAAGAAACATCAAAAGTGTGTGCAGGTTTTAACATTGCAGATCTTTTTCCTTCCATTGAATTTCTTCAATGGATCACTGGAGTCAAGTCTAAGGTAGAGAAGCTGCATGAAGAAGCTGGTAGAATGGTTGAAAAAATTATTAATACACACAAGAAGGGCCAGGCACCATTAAACATTGACAAGAGTGAAGAAGCTGAAGATCTTGTTGATGTTCTTTTGAAAGTTCAAGAGCATGGTGATCTTGAATTTTCTTTGACTACTGACAACATCAAATCAGTGATCTCCGTAAGTACTTGTGCAATTCCATACTGTAATTTCTTTTCCAATAGTTGCAACTTATTAAATTGAAGCGAAATCAGTGTTTCAATCCCATCTTTCCCTTTAATTTTCTCTGTTTAATACTTGGCTTACATCTGCAAACCTTCAAGATTCGTAACAAGCTAGAATTTGTCCTTACAAAATTTTGTTTGAGATACTGCTTTTATCTAATAGTTTAACTGAGAAAAGTTCATACATATTCCTCTTTCCAGGACATTTTTGGTGCCGGTGGGGAGACAGCTGCCACATTAATGGATGAATAATACTATGTGCACTAACCATTTGTACTAATCCAAGTACTAACATTGAAATTTTGAAATTCCCCTCCAGAAAAGAAATTAAATTTTCAATGTTAATGCTTGGATTGTTACAAATTGGTTAGTGCACATAACATTACTCTTAATAGATTGGGTCATATCCGAAATGATAAAAAAAATACAAGAGCGCTGAAGAAGGCACAAGCTGAAGTGAGGGAAGTCTTCAATAGAAAAGGCAAGATCGATGAAACAAGCATCGAGGAAATGAAATTCTTGAAGCTTCTAGTAAAAGAGACTCTAAGACTACACCCTCCTGCACCTTTTTTAGTTCCAAGAGAATGCAGAGAGAAATGTGTGATTAATGGCTTCGACATACCCATCAAAACCGGAGTCATTGTTAATGCATGGGCGATTGGAAGAGATCCAGAATATTGGAGTGAGCCCGAGATCTTCAATCCAGAGAGGTTCCTTAATAGTTCTCTTGATTTTAAGGGGACTAATTTTGAATACATCCCATTTGGTGCTGGCAGGAGAATATGCCCCGGAATGATATTCGGTCTAGCCAATGTTGAGCTTCCACTAGCCATGTTCCTGTATCATTTTCATTGGAAGCTTCCAAATGGAATGAAGAATGAAGATTTGGACATGACGGAGGCCTTTGGTATAGCAGTTGGAAGAAAACATAACCTGCACATTATTCCCATACCTTATCTTCCTCTAGCTTCGTCATCACTCACCAAAAATGATTAAAATCTTTGGATAATTAAGCTTGTTGTGCTGTGATTTGCACCAACGAGAAGTACGTATGATCCATAGTAGAGTCTATGTAGGAGTTTGTATGAAAACCCGTGATTTCGATGTTTGATCAATAGATGAATGGGAAACCAAACAATAGTACAAGAAATAAATTTTTAAAATGGTTCGGATGTTAGATGTAAATCTTACATCTATTGTTCTTGTATTGTTTTTTTATGTTTTTTCTGTATACCAGTACGGCTTTCAAAGTATCAATAAAAATATTTGATCTCTAATTTAAATAAAAAGTAAGTTTATATATTATTACAATAACAAACTTAATTATAAATAAATAAAACCTAAAAAGAATGATATGTAGCTCTTCCACACAACAAAGCTCTTCCATACTAAAGGCATGTTTTACACACGACATTATTAGCTAAACTGCATGGTACTGAATAATAATACAATGTTCGGTAACAAAACTGCACTTTAATAAATAATACAAAATTTAAAATAATGCAATTTATTCTATATTAAATAATGCATAGTCAAACAATTCTATTAGTTAATACAATTTTGCTTAACATTAATTTTACACTCAATATACAATGTCTATTATTTTTAAAATTTATGAATTAAAACATGCAATGACTGGTCAATGTTGTGTTGACCGACATTGACCATAGTTTGACCAATGTTTGATTGGCATTGACAAGTGTTAACTGGAGTTTCATGGTCAAACAATACAGCATTGAGCGGCATTGACTAAAATTGTTGGACATTGACCACTAGTTGGTTCAAATTCTGAGTTTTTTCTATAATTTTTTAGTTAAATAATAAATGAAAAATATAATTTTCTAGACTTCATCAACAGTGTTATTTGTGGAACAACTAATAAGAATCGGGAATTCAATTTCTGAGAAATATTGACTTGATTGGGTTTGTCTCCTCTTCGTTATTTATTTATTTATTTCATCAATTTCCGAGTAAATTATCAATTAACTTGTAACATATAAGAAATAATTATCCAATCTTTTTGACAAATAATTGGGGTTGTTCAGCTATGAGACCTACACGCTAGCCAACTGGGGTTGTTAACCACTTGACTTGTGACCAGATGGCAGGTCCTTATATTACCTTGAGGTCTTATGTTTGAGTTCTACCAAGTAATCACCTATCACATTTGTGACTTATCTGGTCTATTAGACTTGTAAAGTATTCAATAGATCTCAATGATTTGTTTGTGACTTATTTGACCCATTAGACTTGTAGGGTGTTTAATGAATCTCGAAAATTAGTTGAGACGCACGAAAATTGACTCAAACACTCCGATCACAAAAAAAAAAAAATAATAATAATTCGGGTTGTTGAAAATGGAGAATAATGTCTACTTATTCTATGTAAAAGTGGCGGTGGGTTCTGCCATGCCATGCCAAAATTTTCAACATCCATCGTGCTATGGGTCGTGCCAGACAACCAAAACCCAAGGCTCACGGCTACTTTAGTAAAGTAGTCAACAACTACGTTGCACTTGAATATGGTTGTTGCAAAGGTTATATTAATTTTTTTTTTTAAATTAATGGGTTATGTCATGCTGGCCCATGCGCCAAATCTTGAACTCACAGCACGGCCCACGGGCCATGGCACGGCACGAAATTTTTGTGCCGTGACATGGTGGGCCGTGCCAAAAAATTGCCCTAATTCCATGTTATTCAATGTTGGAGATTGAGACAAATGATAACATTATAGTATAGTTAAAATATCGTTTTCAAACTTTAAAAAAATATTTTAATTGTCTTTTATGGATGGAATCATTGGAACCATAACCACCCTTGAGATGCTCCAGCTAAAGAATCATCTTTTAGAAAGGCATGCATAAAGGGTATCTAAAATCAAGGTGAACAAGATTTAAGTATCCCGGTCCTCTCAATCTTCTTGTCTTCTCATGGAGTGGACATGTCCCAGCTTCTCAATCCTTCTTACCGTTGTTCTCTTCCTCTTCATGTTGCTGAAAATAAGGAAGAGATTCAAGTCCTTTGACAAAACCTTTCATTTGCCTCCAGGGCCGTTGAAATTACTGGTCATAGGAAATATGCACCTGCTTGTTGGATCTCTACCCCATCACAGATTAATAGACTTGGCCAGGAAATATGGACCATTTATGCATCTACAGCTTGGAGAGGTTTCCACTGTTGTTGTTTCTTCGCCCGAATTTGCCAAAGAAGTTATGAAAACCTATGATGTTAGCTTTGCCTCAAGGCCTGAGGTTCTNCTCAGAGATTTGGCCAAGAAATATGGACCCTTTATGCATCTACATCTTCGAGAAATTGCTGCCGTTATTATTTCATCGCCAAAGTTTGCAAAAGAAGTCATGAGAATTCATGATGTAAACTTTGCATCAAGGCCTCAGATTCTAGTAATAGAAATCTTGTCTTATGATTCTACTAATCTTGTCTTGCACCATATGGTGATTAATGGAGACAGCTAAGGACGATTTTTACATTGGACCTTTTGTTGAAGATGATGATATCTTGCTGGAAATGATGAAGTCAACACACGGTGAGAGTTGCAAGATTTTGGCGCCACGATTTGAAATGTTGCTATGCATGTAGAAGTTGTTTTTGGTCACTGTTTTAGAAAATATTTCAGTGATGTGTTTAGGTGAATTAGGTTGATAAAATGATGTATTTTGATATGTTTGTACATGCATTAGTTAGAGTGTTTGGTTTAAATTTTAAATTTGCAACTTTAGGTGGACCAGTAGCAAGTTCTTGTATAAAAACTACCCTGTTTTTTGAATGAAAAACAGAGCAAAATTTTAGTTCAAATTTTCTCTCTTTACAGCTCTCTCTCATGTCTGCTTTGGTCCTCTTTCCTTAGTATTCTCTAGCTCTAAAAACCAACAATTGGTATCAAAGTTGTTGTGATCTTTCAGAACTTGGAAAAACAAAAACCTCTTAACAAAACTCAACACCATACATAATCTTCTTCATGGCTTCAGCTCCAGCTTCACTTTCTCCACCCATCTTCAATGGAGATCAGTTCCATGTATGGGTTGTCAAGATGAAGACTTGTTTAAGAGGCCATGGGTTATGGCAATACGTGGAGGAGGAGAAGCAAGTTCCTCAGTTGGGAGTAAACCCCACACTGAACCAAATGAGGATTCATGAAGAGGAGATGTCTAAAGCACCAAGGGCCCTATCTTACATACACTCGGTAGTGACAGACCAAGTATGGCGTGTGAAACTCCTAAAGAGGCTTGGGATAAGCTTAAAGAGGAGTTTGGGGTAGCAATACAACACACAACATGCAAGTTCTAAACCTGAGAAGAGAATTTGAGATGCTTAAGATGCAAGAGACTGAGTCTGTCAAGGAGTATGTGGATAGGCTGATGAATGTGGTGAACAAGATTAAGCTACTTGGTGAAGAGTTGATTGACAAGAGGATAGTAGAAAAGGTTTTGGTCAGTTTACTTGAGAGATTTGAGGCAAAAATCTCTTCACTTGAAGACTCCAAAGACTTGTCCCAAATCAGCTTAGCAGAATTTGTGCATTCTCTTCAAGCACAAGAGTAGAGGAGGTTGCTGATGCAGAAAGACTCAAGTGAAGGAACCATGATAGCAAGCCAAAACAGGAGGTATGCTGGAGAGAAGAAGGGAAAGGACGAAGTTAACAACGAAGGAGGAAAAAATGCGGGAATGAGAACCTTTCCTCCTTGTCCTCATTGCAAGAAAAAGAACCACTCTGAAAACAGATGTTGGTTTAGGCCTGGCATACAATGTAGGTCTTGTAAGTAGTTTGGACATGTAGAAAGGATGTGCAAGAATAAAGGAGGGCAACAGGAGCATCAATCCTAAGAAGTGGAGAATCAACAGCAGAGTCAAGAACCTGAGCAGTTGTTTATGGCTTCAGGATGTGTAGGTGATTGTGATCAAGAGTTGTGGTTAATTGACAGTGGTTGCACCAACCATATGACTCCAAACCTTGGTCATTTTGTGAACTTAGATCAGAGTTATCGATCCAAAGTGAAGATAGAAAATGGAGAGCTACTAGAGGTCAGAAGCAAGGGAAATGTTTCTGTCCAAACCAAGTCAGGTACCAAATTCATACATGATATTTTATTTGTTCCCGAAATTAGTCAAAGCTTACTAAGTGTAGGACAAATGCTTGAGAGAAATTACTCTTTGCATTTTAAAAACTCAGCATGTGTCATTATAGAATGTGATGGGAGTGAGTTAATGAGAGTTAGAATGCAAGGAAAAAGCTTCCTGGTAGAGTGGGGAAAGGCTGTTTTTCAAAACCATTCAGCTAACATAGTCAATAGAGATGTCAAGGTGGATGAGTGTGTTGTTTGGAATTGGGAAAAAAGTCAGGTTAAAGTCAAGCCAAGCTTCCAGCAGGATAGAATGCCTGAAAGTCAGATTGAAGAAGTGAATTCAGATGAAGTTGATGAAGTTCCAGTCAGAGGTACAAAGCCAATATCTGAACTTTATGACAGAGGCAATGTGGCTGAGTTAGAACCAACAAGCTACAATGAGGTAGTCAAATCTGATGCTTGGAGAAGCTGCAATGGAGGAGGAGTTCTCTTTACTAATGAAGAACAAATTGCAGATATAATGACCAAAGCTTTGTCCAAAGCCAAGTTTGAAGAATTAAAGCTCACTTAGTGTTTCCAGCAAAGATATCAAGGAGGAGTGTTGAAGATGATGATATCTTGCTGGAAATGATGAAGTCAATACACAGTGGGAGTTGCAAGATTGTGGTGCCACGGTTTGAAATGCTGCTGTGCATGCAGAAGTTGTTTTTGGTCACTGTTTTAGAAAATATTTCAGTGATGTGTTTAGGTGAATTAGTTTGATAAAATAATGTATTTTGATATATTTGTACGTGGATTAGTTGGAGTGTTTGGTTTAAATTTTAAATTTGTAACTTTACGTGGAACAGTAGCAAGTTCTTGTATAAAAACTACCACTGTTTTTTGAATGAAAAACAGAGTAAAATTTCTGTTCAGATTTGCTCTCTTTATAGCTCTATCTCACGTCTGCTTTAGTCCTCTTTCCTTAATATTCTCCAGCTCTAAAAACCAACAGCTTTTAAGCACGAAACAAGTCCAGTCTTTCCGATTTATAAGAGAGGCGGAGGTGTCTACTCTCGTTGATTGGATTGCTTCAAAAGCAGGCCAAATCAGAAACAAATGGAAAGATCAAGACTTGTTCATATCAATTATCAAAGAAGCTACAGTTGCTTCAGGAGGTTTTAACATTGCTGATCTGTTTCTGTCTATTAAATTTCTTGAATCTGTGAGTGGAATCAGGCCTTAACTAGAGAGGATGCATAAACAAACTGACAGGATAATTGAAAACATTATCAATGAACACAAGAAGGGTCAGGCAACATTAAAAATTGGTGAAGAAGGTGAAGATCTGGTTGATGTTCTTTTGAAAGTTTCAAGAGCATGGTGTTCTTGAATTTTCCTTAACTACTGAGAACCTCAAAGCAGTAATCTTGGTAAGTTTTTTCAATTCTCATATTTGAACTTAACTTGGTGTTTATTTTTATCTCCTAATTGCCGAGTAGAATATACAAGTAATGTTTGTATAGCAAGTGGGTTGTGTGAAACTTAATTTCTGTCAAATGGTTTGGCTCAGATTGGTGAATAAATTTTCTTTTCAGGATATTTTAAAAAAAAAAAAAAAAAAAAATTATTGCTAAGCAAGTCTTTGGAAAGACTTGAGGATTGTTTTATTATTTTAAGTAGTATTTTTAAAATATTATTGATAGATAGAGTTGGGTGATTATTACGAGATAAAATTTAGAAATTAATTAAAAAAAACCTTCTTGGTTTGCTAATTTAACTTAATACCCCAATATATAAAAATCTTATAAAATGACAAAAACACCCCCACCACACACAGTTGCTAGATTCCATCTACCACTATTGGAATCTGACTAGAATTTGGCATTACGACGCATGACCGACTGGATCTGACGGGTCGTGAGCCGAGATGACATTTTCCAGCCAGATGCCAGATCCACCGTGGATCTGGCCTTTTCTCTGGCCGGAAAAGGCCAGATCTACAGCCAAATTTGACCGTGTTTGGTTGCCAACGATGGCCAGAGTTATAGCGGTGGTGGCCTGAATCTGGCAAATGTGGGTGAATGGGAGTGTTTTTGTCAATTTCTAAACTTTTTTTTTCGGGAGGGTGTTTAGTTAAATTAATAAACTTAGGGGGTTTAAAAGTTAAATAAAATATAATAGTATTTTCAGAATAGGAAAACAAATATTTATTTTGGAAATAGTATTAATAAGATAGGAAAAAATAATTTATCAAACGGAGATTCTTGGTGAAACAAAATTATTAAAGATAAAGATACAGAAAAGAAAAGTAGACGATTGTAATATAAACTTAACAATAGTTTACCAAAAGCCCATGCTGACAAAAGTATGTGTATTTTAAATGGAAAAAAAAAAAACAATAAAAAAGTTTAAAAAATATATATTATACTATTAATTTTGAGATGAAGAGTAAACCCAAACCAATGAGTTCATATTTTATTCAGTTCGGGTCGATTTGGACCGGTTTGGGCTTTCGAGTTCGGGTCCATTTGTTAAGACACCCTCTTTAAAGTTTTAAAAGTAAATGATTTTCTTATGGAGCCCCATAGATTCCATGAATATCCTTCATTCTATATTTTTCTTTTATATATTTTTAAAAAGTTAACATTTTGATCCCTTCACTTATACTATATGCCTCTCAGCATCGTTATTCCTGAAATAGAAATTTAGATAATTAAATTGAAAATTCAGAAAAAGATTAAAGTCGAAAATTCTAAAAGATAAATTCGCCTGTGGAGGCGTTTTGCAATGAAAGTAAGGAGCTCTTGAGTAAGACTGGCCCAATCGGGTATGATCTGATCTATGGCTGGCAAATTCACAAAGAAGAACAAGAAAACAAAGAGAAAGTTATCTTTGAAATGAACTAGTGAACTGAAATGATTTTAAAAGGACAATAATAAATTTTGTCAGAATTCAAACACTTAATTAATGACAACCAAGATCAGTAAGGTAAAACTCGATTTCTAATTTCAAGTACCTGATTCGAACTTGATTTTTTAAGCTCGATCTGAATTAGTTACTGTAGCACTCAAGTTAAGTTCAATTACCCAGATACTCAACTCGATTTCGCCCCCATCTGCTACAGTCAAATATTATCTTTATTTGACTAATACAACCAAAACTCATTAAAAAACGGATAATTTAATTAAAAATATATTTATTTTTTAAGAACGAAACATGTATACATTCAAAAACTAGAGAATTTCAAATAAACAACATATATTCAGACGTCTAAATCTGAGAATTTTCATTTAAAAAAAAAAAAAAAAAACACAGATATGATCTTGATGATTTAAAAGGATGTGAGCTCTTGCCTTTTTCTGAAGTTAACAACAGTATATACATAGACACCTCTCTTCCAAACGATGATGT